AAAGCTTTTTTTCATCAGCACAAGACGAAAATATGATACAAGTTTTTCATAAAAAATATTCAAGTCATTTGGGAGCATCCATAAAAAATGTTCACGAAATGGAGTGACGGAAAATCACCAAAATTGGACTGAATATTTAGATCAGAGATGTTGGTTACTGGCTTGTTTTTTATTCGAATCCGATCAGTAGAGTCCAGCGAATTAAGATGAAGTTCGGATCCAGGTCTTAGACCCAATAGGTTCTACCAGCTAGCCGCACGAATCGGATGATTTATTTTGATCCACGAGTTAATACAAATTTTATTACTAAAATATTTATTTATAAAGCCGTTAGGTTTTTTTTTTATTATTTTCGAAACTAAGACTTGGATTATAATAATATTATTTTTTATTTCTGAACATAACCATAAAAATTACAAAATTTCAACCAAAAAAAATTGAAAAGTGACGGTTGTCCGATTTAAACAGGTGAGTTGGCATTTTTTGAATAACTATCGATAGAAACAAGTGAGAGATCTGTGGTTTTCACCTTTCAAAAGAGCAATGTCTGGATTATTGATCCGAATAAAATTCATTAGAACGAAAAATGCTTTTAGATCGACACTTTTTTCTTTGCATATTTTTAAAATAATCTCAATTGGAATTATATCAAAATGTAGCTCAAATCATCCTTTGTTTTTCGTTGTAAAATTATTCGACTCTTTTTCTAATTCCGCTTGAAATAAGCGATTGAGGGATTATGAAATATGTCATGATTCTATAGTGCAAAAAGGTTGATTTGAGGTACATTTCGAGATAATTGTAAAAATACCCAAAGAAAAAAGCATTTTTCATTCTAATGAATTTAATACAATACTTCAAAATGAGTAAATGATTAGATTCAGAAGACATAAAGGTTCGATGAAATTCGACAGAGTGAAGTGGATGTAATTCTTGCCCGGACATTGTATATTGAATTACATCGATTTATGCAATAATGTCTAAACAACCTTGCAAGAAAATATCGATGTACACCAGTAGCATAAATTTTACTTTGATGATCATTACCAAAAAAATTTTCGAGTATTTAATTTTCAATTAAGTCATCATGATATGAGAAATCTTACTAATTATAGTTATCAACAACAAACTCATTCAATATGAGATTCAATTAATAATGATTGGAATTAATTTCGATCAATTTATTAGATAGAAACAAACTTTTTTTTTATATTTAAAAATAAAAATAAAATTCTAATTATTCGACATAGCAGATAAATCGAGTACAGGTGATCCATCTTGTCCAGCATATTTTGTTATAATTGCAGTTATTTGTCCACGATGATGAGTATTATGATTAAATATATGATCTAAAGCTTCAGCACGATTACGTTCTTGTTTTTTATCTTTTGTATCAATATATGAAAATTTTTCTTCTATCATTAAACTTTCAGAATTTAATTCTTTGACATAATCAATCCATCGATCACATTCAATTATAATTTGTTCATATACATCTTTACGATCTTTAATTGCTTGTTCCCATTCATTTGCTGAACGAGACCAATAAGAATTTATTTCATATGGATATTTTTCATCTTCAAGAGGATTTGATGATAAACTAGTTAAACGAGAATACCAAAGTTTACTTGATAATAACAAATGAACTAATGTACCATGAATTGATCGAAAGTAAAGACCATTATCAGCATGATAATTTTCATTCGAAATATATTTATCTAATTTATCATAGAGTTGCTGAAAAGCCCATCGATTATAGATAGCCATGCGAATAAAATGTTGCTTGCATGCATTCATTCTCTTTCTTGTAGAGAAGACTAGCAAGAATAAATTGTTTGCTTGCTTGATTGTATGTCCGCACTTCGGTGATTGGTCCAAGAATAAGCTGAAAATAAAAGGGATTATTTTCCATAAAACTTGACCAAGGAATAATCGAGGGTGAGGACTTCAAATCTGTGATTAGTTTTAATTAATTATTAACCAATTATTAATTAATCATCAACTAATTATTAAATTTTTTCAAAAAAAACTTGACCAAAGGTAATCGAGGGTGGACAGTCCGAATCCAAGGTCGGTTATAATTATTAATGTATTATTACTTAATTATTTATATTTTCGACAAAACTTGGTCGAAGGTGATGGAGGGTAGAGAACCCAAATCTGAGTATGAGATGCCTAATTCGAATTATAATATAAATATACTTTCAGAAGTGCTTAATCATTTCGAAAATAACTGAGAAAATAAAATATACATGCATCCATTTAGATAAATTATTATAAAAGCTATAAATGATGAAGACTTTGCTGTAAAGTTAGGCAAAAATTTTGCTCTTTTTGCCGTTTATCATTTCTGATAACAGCTATAAATGATGAAGACTTTACTATGAAGTTAGGCAAAAATTTTTACTTTTTTTGCCATTTATCATTTATCATAAATGATAAAAGCTATAAGTGATGTAGACTACAGTAAATTTATCACCATTTATAACTTTTACGATAAATGATAAATGGCAAAAAAAGTAAAATTTTTTGCCTAACTTTACAGTAAAGTCATCGGTATTTATAGCTTTTATAATAAATGATAAACGGCGAAAAAAATAAAAAGTTTTGCCTAAGTTTACAGTAAAGTCATCACCATTTATAGCTTTTATCATAAATAATAAATAGCTAACAAAGTAAAATTTTTTGCCTAACTTTACAGCAAAGCCTCCATGATTTATGTTTTATAATTAACGATAAGTGACGAAGAAAAAGTTTTATTCTTTTGCTAACATGAGTGCTGTGTTTTTTTTTTCGATCTCCATTTATATTATAAGTCGAATTAGGCAGCTGCTCAATCTGGGTGTCTGTTTTAATTATTAATCATTAATATTTTTTACAACACTCGAAAAGGGGAAATTGAAGGTCAGGAATCTGAATCCGAAGTCTGTTTTGATTTTTTTCTAAGTATACTACTATTATTAGCGATTTTCTGGAAAACTTGATCAAAGATTTTTCAAATAAAAAACGAGAATCTATGAGAAGTTTGTGCTAATAAGCTAGCAATGCTAAGGAGTAGTAAAACATACTAATGTCATCATAGTTTAGGAAAAAATTTCATTAAAGGAAATTCAAAAACAAGAATTTCAATCTGGAACTAGTTACTATTAGTAGTATAGATAAGTGAATAATTTGGGAAGAATTCAGAAATAGCACTTCTACGAGAAAGAGCTGAGCGAGTCCACAAACGAGCTTTACTTGTAGATGGCTATTTATTCGTATCAATTATGCTTTTCGTACTTCGATCGGAGCAAACGTGCTTTTTTCTCTATTATTCATAAAAAACTTTAATGTATTTTACATTAGGTGATTGAATAAGGAATTCGAAATGACTTGACTAATGGAGTTGAGGGAAGTAATACAGTTAATAATAATCATGAGTAAATGTCTTTGCAATAATTCCTGTTCCTTAAGTATTAATTAGTTTTGAATAATAATTGTACGAGAAGATAGTAAAATATATACTCTAACTCGCGATCCAAATATCAACGCGAAAGAATGTTGTAGGTAAAAATTACAAACTTTTTTTTCTAAAAAGAGAAAAAAAATCATGATTGAATTGCGGTTAGTATTCTATAATGAAAATGACTTGTTACGCGAAGATACCAAATAAAGTGAATATTTTTATTTCATGAAAAGTTTCTTAGTGAAGTTTATTACAATATAGTTATTGCAATTTAATTTCACACAGAAGTTGAGATGAAATCTGAATAGAAAATGATAGCAAAAACTTTAATCATCTCTTCTCTAATGTTAGTTTTGCTTCACTCTTAAAAAATAGAGTTTTTTTTATTGATATAATAGAAAGGCCGTGCTCATATTCCATCCACATGTTAAATGATGCCTTGCACACATATTATTATATTTGTTTTAGATAATTAAGATATAAGTATTGATCTTCATCTTCATTACTTACTTTGTGTCTATTGACAAAGTAAGAAAGGAAATTAGATCAATACACTTAGGAATGTATTTAAATTTTTGAATAATGATTACTTTGCATGATTAATGAAATGTGATAGATTAGTGTGTTCTAATCATATATAATCTTTGAAGTAACAATACAAAAATCGAACTCTCTATAATCGATCGTCTGTATATAGTATCAGTTAAAGGAAAGTGTAATATTTGGCGTCGAAATATGTCAAGCGACTTTTCCTCTCAATGATAGATTTTTTTATTGATTTCATTTGGTTCATCATCTCAACAGAAAATATTAAAATTCGATTCATCATCTATCAAAATCTTCTGCTGATGTTATCAACTGCTTTACAAAAGTCATAGAATTCCAAGTTATTATTACAACAATAGTCTACGTGTTAAAAGCTAACAATACTATGATAGAGAAAGTAAATATAGAATGTAACAATACTAATGATCGATTCTTTTGTGTTTTGAA